CCCCAAAACCCCAAAACCCCATGATGAAAAATAATATTAAATAAAGGCTAGTGTAATTATTAATTTTCAGAGTATAAGTATTTTAATAAAAGCATTTTATTTTGGAATATATTTGATCTTAATAAAATGGGACTTAATTGTAGTAAGTGCTGCCAAGCAGAGGAAGAAGCTAAAATGGAATAGGATCTAAATAGAAATGGAGGAAATAATATAAATAGTAAAAGATCAAACCCTATGAAGTTTGCTGCTAATCCCAGAATACTAGATGATAAGTCAAAGAAAGAAATTTTAAAAGAGTTTTAACAAAATCCAGAAAAAATTTAATCTGTAGTAATGATATAAGCTAATGTGAAGGGACATATAACAAGGAATTAGACAAATGAGATTAGAAGTCAGTTAATCACTAGTATATTTAATGAAGGGAGATTAGAAATAAATGAAGAGGAATATAATTTCCCAAAGGTAAATCAACTGCTTAAATAATTAGGTCATTTTGACTTTGGATCACACATAGATGATGGTGTTCCGAGAGATAAAAGACCACTAGTAATGCTTGAAAATGGAGCTAAGTATGAGGGTGAATGGGTAAAGGGTACTGAAATTAGAGACGGCAGAGGAATTTAAATATGGTCAGATGGTTCCAGATATGAAGGTTATTGGAGAAATAATAGAGCTAATGGTAGAGGTAGACTAATACATGCTGATGGAGATGTATATGAAGGTGAATGGTTAGATGACAAGGCTCATGGTTTTGGAAAATACTAGCATATTGATAGGTCAAAGTATGAGGGTTACTGGAAAGAGGATAAATAACACGGTTATGGTAGAGAAGTCTGGCCAGATGGTGCAGCGTTTGAAGGAGACTATGTAGATGGGAAAAAGCAAGGAAAAGGCAATTTTACATGGGCTGATGGAAGCACTTATTAAGGAGAGTTTCTTGAGAATAATATTCATGGTAAGGGTACATACAAATGGGCAGATGGGAGACTATATTAAGGTACTTGGCAAAATAATAAGATGCATGGATATGGCGTTTTCACATGGCCTGATGGGAGAAGATATGAAGGAGACTATGCTGATGATAAGAAGTAAGGAAGAGGAACATTTTAATGGAGCGATGGACGAAAATATATAGGAGGATGGTATAATGGAAAATAGCACGGAACTGGATTGTACGTTTCTTCTCATGGAGCTTCCAGAAAAGGGGAATGGAATATGGGTAAGAGAGTTAAATGGGTTGGGGAAAGCCCTAGTTAAGGCCATTTTGACAATGAGGACCAAATTGATCAAGATTGATATGATGTAAATAATAACAAGGATTTAAATAGATTTCACTTTAGTTCTATCGAAGTTTATTGAACACAATTAAATTTTATTTGAATTTATCTCATTTGGAATATTCATAGATTACTCTGCTCATTATTAAACATGGGGTTTTGGGGTTTTGGGGGGATCG